AGATCTATGGACCTACCATGACCAACCTGCATACCTTATGGAAGTTTTAGGCTTGTTCTTGGAATAGCTATTTAGTTACGCTCCTCCAGCTGCAAAGATTATGATGTAGAAGGGTAGGCTGCTTGTTTGTGATGAGCTGTAAAAGATGTTGGAGGAAGATGTGGCCCCTTCTAAAATTCAGGAATATTATGTATGATTTGGGTGAAAGTAAAGTACGGCATATTCGAAACCATTACTTACTTACTTACTTACTTGAGGAAAGCAGTCTTCTGGGATTTGGCACCGTGTATATGTGGTGTTAACCGACGTTTCGGAGGAACGTATCGCCTCCATCTTCAGGGTAGAAGAAAAAATATAAGAAATCTGCAAAGCGAGGAGACCGTGAGAACCGGTAAAAGCAGACACCGAAACGTCGGTTAACACCACATATACACGGTGCCAAATCCCAGAAGACTGCTTTCTTCACAGTCACCGCCGTGAAAGCCTCAAATCTTACATACTTACTTACTTACTTACTTACTTACTCATGGAGCTGAGCCCTTGCGGAGGAGCCGCCAATTCAGCAGCTACTCAAGAATTTCCCAGCATTTTATGGAACCCGAAGGTTCAGTACCGTCTTCACAAGAGCCCTCCGCTGGTCCCTATCCTGAGCCAGATCAACCCAGTATATAACATCCCATCCTATCACTCTAATATCCATTTTAATATTGTCCACCTACCTACGCCTTGGTCTCCCTAGTGGTCTCTTTCTTTCTGGCTTTCCCACCAATATCCTGTACGCATTCCCGTATCCCCCACTCGTGCTACATGACCTGCCCACCTCATACTCCTTGACTTGATTATTCTAATTATACTTGGAGAAGAATACAAGTTATGAAGCTCCTCATTATGCAGTTTTCTCCAACCTCCTGTCACTTCATCTCTCTTCGGTCCAAATATTCTTCTCAACACCCTGTTCTCAAACACCCTCAGTCTATGTTCCTCCCTTAATGTCAGAGACAAAGTTTCACACCCATACAGAACCACAGGCAAAATTATAAATCTGTATATTCTAATTTTTATATTTTTTGACAGCAGACGAGAAGCAAATGGTTCTGGACTGAATGGTAGCAAGCATTACCCGAGTTCAATTTCCTCCTGAATCAGGTTTCGATCTGTTATCGTTGTTCCAAAATATCTGAACTATGTCACATTTTCAAAACATCTGTTTCCTATATTTATGTCATGATTTTGCCATGCATTTTGGTGACGAGACAGGAACATATACATAGTTTTCTCTGTGTTTACTTCTAGACCAACCTCTTTACTTGCGTCAATTAAAGTTTGTGTGTTTTTCTTTATGGTATCTACATTATCACCCAGTAAATTCACATCATCGGCGTAGACCAACAGCTGATGTGACCCGTTTAATTTCAGTCCCACCTGGTTTTCCTGGACCTTCCTAATGACATATTCTAAAGCAAAATTGAAAAGGAGTGGCGATAAAGCATCTCCTTGTTTTAGACCATTCTGGATAGGAAATTTATCAGACAAATGTATACCTACACGGACTTCACTATACGTTTAGTTTGAACACATTTTAATCAACCTAACTAGTTTCTTGTGTATCCCAAACTCTATCAGAATACTGTACAGTACTTCCCTCCTAGCTAAATCCTAGGCTTTCTTGAAGTCTATGAATAGCTGCTGCTGTACTCTCTCATCGTACTCCCATTTTTTCTCCAATATTTGACGAATGCAAAGGATCTAATCTGTAGTTGATCTGTTACGTCGAACCCTACACTGATGATCCTCAATAATTTCATCTATATATGGACTTAACCTTGAGAGAAGAATATTGGATAAAATTTTGTATGAAATTAATAGCAGTGATATCCCCCGATAATTACTGCAGTTAGTCTTTTCGAATGTTCGAAGTTTGTATAGGGCAGGTTCGCTCAGGGCAGTGGCAGAAGAAATCTAAAAATATAAGTTAGATTTAGCGGGATACAACAGGTCAGATGGGTTAGAGGTGGCATCGCACCAGCAGGAGACTGTACATTTTTCTATGGAAAGGGGAATGAAAGTCATGAATTGGGTACAGGTTTCTTCGTCCATAAGAGAATCATATCAGCAGTTAAGAGGGTAGAGTTCGTTAGTGATATGGTATCATATATAATACTAAAATGTCGGTGGTGTGATATCATCGTTACGAATGTTCATGACACAACAGAAGATAAAATTGATGACATGAAGGATAGGTTCTATGAAGAACTGGAACATGTATGTGATAAATTCCCTAAGTACCCTATGACAATTTTGTTAGGAGATTCCAATGCCAAAGTAGGGAGGGAAGACATTTTCAAACCTGCAATTGGGAATGAGAGTTTGCATGAAATTAGTAATGATAATGGAGTTAGAGTAGTAAACTTTGCCACATTAAAAATTCTTACTGTCAAAAGTACAATGTTCCCACATCGTAACATTCATAAATTTACTTTGACATCTCCTGATGGGAAGATACACAATCAAATAGACCATATTTTGATAGATAGGAGACAGCACTCAAGTATACTTGATATCCGATCATTCAGGGCAGCATATTGTAATACTGACCACTACCTGGTGGTGGCAAAATTTAGGGAAAGACTGGCAGTGAGCAAACAAACAACACACAGGGTTCATATGGAAAGGTTCAATCTCAAGAAATTAAATAAGGTAGAGGGTAAAGAGCAGTATTGTGTTGAAATCTCAAATAGGTTCTCTGCTTTGGAAAGCTTGGAAACTGAGGTGGATGTTAACAAAGCTTGGGAAACTATTAGAGAGAGTATAAAAATGTCTGCTAAAGAGAGTGTAGGTTATTATGAACTGAAGAAGCATAAGCCATGGTTTGTTGAAAGATGCTCAAAATTATTAGATCAAAGAAAGCAGGCCAAATTGCAATGGTTACAGGTTCCAAGCGAGTTAAATGGGGATAATCTGAACAATATAAGACGTGAAACCAGCAGACATCTCAGGAACAAAAAGAGTGAATATCTGAAAGACAAAATTGATGAGCTTGCAATTTTTGAAACCGCTACAGGTACAAACATGAAGCAACTTGAAAAGGGCAACGAAACTCGTGAAATTCTCGCAGGACACATTGATCATAATATATTCGCCGCGAGTAGCACTCCGATCACTGTCAAAGCAAGATGGCGTCTCAAATGTTAAAGGCTTGAGTAGGAGGAACATAAAACACTCCTCGGCCTTCTTGATCTCCGAATCTTACTCAACGCGACTTCTACATATGGGGACATGTGAAAGAACGGGTATACCAGTTTGTGGCGAATTTTCACATTGTGTTCCTCTAGTATGTTACACCGTGTAGTCTGGTAAGTCAGTACAACTGTGAGAACTACCACACTATTCGGTGTCATCTTTGAGATGACCACAATCGTGAAGATGACTGTAAAACTGCTGGTCTAAGAGGACAGGTAAGAGAAGCGCTCTGCAGATGAAATTATGAATGATAACGTACACGCTCTTGAGATTGCTGATAAGGACACGGAATGTAGTTAATGCAAGAAAGGGAATTTAAATTATGCAATTCCAGATGTTTTAACTATATAATTAGGATTACGAAAACTCATCCATATATAAACAAACATTAAATTACTAAACAACTGTTCCCTGTTGATACTTAAGCCTATTAATATTACCAAGAAATAAAACTGGATAGGCCTATGTCTAATGAACGAATAAACAATCTGTAATAATATTTCACTGTTCATTAGTATTGTACACACGAAAAGAAAATGAAATGTAGGCCTACATGGACTGCTAAACATATTCTTCAGAGTAAAATTGTAATAGAGAACGATTAAATGAATGAAACAAATAGGCCTTTATGATTTCTATGCAGCCTATTCGAAGGCTTAAACTTCCGTTATGATAGAAAGGTCGCTCTTGATATTTATACAAGTTAGAAAATATATATACATTGTAACAAGCCTTGTTTATCTCGAAAATCGTAGAACTTAACGGAAGAATTATGTGGAGCAGAGAAGATATTTTATTTTTTCTAAAACTTCTGTTCGATATTTCTGTAATATGCATTTAGCTATCTATGTTCGAGATACTCGAAAAAACGCATGTTGGTTTTTGTGTAAAGCGTCCGTCACTTTTGTCGATTCTTTACGAAAATCGGATTGTGTTTACAGATGTTATTACATCTTGCACAGTATCAAATTTCTTGAAAACGTTAAAGCTATTTAGAGTTGTTGCATGCTTTCAGACAGCCGGACGGACGGACGGACGGATTTTAATAGGCGCCACGCAGGGTTACGAACTAACATAAAAAGCGTTCATGTAACAGGCATATATACCGCACCGGTAGGTGATCTTAACTGTTGGAACTTATATGACTGTTGCCTTTCTTTCTATAATTAAATTTGAGATGTCATGTGCTCCCGAACATTAATCGTGGACAAGGAATTAAAATCAGTAACTCCACATTCATCGTGCGGTAAGCACGAGAAACAAAACAATGCTGCATTCCTTGGCTTCGACTGTGTATACACGAGACCGCTGTATTAGTGACATTAATAAAGCATTAGTTCTCGTTTGGCCAGTCTTTCGTTAAGGAAATTGTAATGCAATACGTTGGTTCGATGGATAATCTACACGTGCTTTCATGACCTTCATGGATTTCCTCTGATAATTACTTATATTGATTACACGCCTTACGGAACGCTCTCTCCCTGCCTTGTGTGTCACCCAATGCCTGCTCGAAATGTTTCCTACAGCCAATCAAAACCACGCTCTACGGATCAGCTTTGTCAACATCCCCCCTCCAAGCATGCAGTCATAATACAGTGGTAGCGCCAACGACGAGCAAATTGATTAGTTACGGGGAGCACTATTGGTCTGTTCATTTGTACCACGCATGCTCATTGGTTGCTCGTGGAACATTTATGACTTTCATCTTGGTATTAGTCGCGGAGACGGGAGCGGATGTAGGGGAAGTAGGTTTTGTTGTAGTGAGTGATAGGGGAGTTTAGGATTCATTATCTAAGTGAGTGTTATGTGGAGGGGTTGTAATTGAGTTGGTGTAGCGGTTACTCGCAGTCTGACAGTGTCTGCGGGGTGGGAAGGTCAGAATGATGGATCGGACCGGTACTCAGCACCACTCCGAGGAACTACCAGCAGCTACAAGACCACGCGGTGTCTACAGCATTGATCAGATTCTAGGTACCGCCAGGAATCCCGCAGATGACGGGAACCTGCATCAGTCAAAAGACGGTAAGCTTCAAGTCTGATGGCACAAATGTCTGATAGTTCGAATCCTGTTATTTTCATGTGTTAGATTGCTACCAGCTCACACCTAGTGTTCCAGTTATCTTCACAGAAGAGGGCTAGGCTCATAAAGCCGAGGAACTAAATGCATAGGCCTAAAGTTCAAACGACTTAAGAAGTTTCATGTAAAATGTATGCCTCAACGACATCTTTTCTGTAGGAGTTTTACACGTTGGCAAATTTAATTGTTTTTAATGAGGGTGACGTACCGACAGTCATTATCTCTTGGTTTCTGTGTTGTGGGGCACCGTTATTCTAGTGTATCGAATTAGTTATAGGCCTAATGTAAGTATAGATCAAATTTTGTAACTTCTCCCTGAAAAATGAATTTTACAGTTGTTTTTAATATTCGAGGTTTTCACAGTGGTGACTATGAAGAATGCCGTCTTCTGGAATGTGGCACCGTGTAGATGTTGTGTGGATAGATGTTTCGGAGGAAGGTATCGTCTCCATCTTCAGGGTAGAAAAATTCGCCATATCCCACAAAACGGCATTCTTCTATTTTTGTTGTTTTCCTTCTGTGTCTTGTCATTGGCTAATGGAATATTTAAGTTTTTCTTTCATTTTATTCGTTAGAACAATGTCTTGAACCAGTTTATTTTAGAAAATTTGTTAATTTTGAATTCAGATTATTTAATTATTCTCCCAATTGAAATATTGTTAGATACATAAGAAAGAGTGTTTACGGTGTGATTAGTGTCAGTTTGCCTTAAAGCCGCGTAAACGGTTTAAAGAATAGTTTGATAAATGAAAGGAAAGGAGATTGTCCTTTGGTGTAGCTGTCATTTGCATCGTTAAACAGTAACATTAAGCAACACAAATGTTTGTTCAGAACCCATCATGTAATAGAAAGATTTATAAATAGGCATGTTATCCGTCTTTAACTTACAAAACCAGAGGCTATATAATTGGACTTTCGTAACGCTTACGTTCCTAGACGTTCTACACAGAGTTAACAGAAAACTGGGTGCAAAGACTTTTCACTTACTTTCTCATACACAGCGGCCCGGGTTCGATCCCGGGTTTGGTCAAGCGGGATTTGTGGTGGACAAAGTGGCGCTGGGGCAGGTTTTCCCCGAGTACGTCGGTTTCTCCTGCCAATCTTCATTCCACCAATTACTCCACAATCACCCTCACCTATCATCTGGGGCTGGTACAATAGGCCAGAAGTGGCCACAGTACAAGGGACTTAGTCCCACCCCACTAACAATAAAAAAAATACTGTTAAAGTAATCCTAAGTCTAGCCGGTCACGGTAGCCGAGCGGTCTAAGGCATGCACTGTCTTCGCTCGCTCGGAAGCTGGGATCGTGGGTTCGAATCCCATTCAGGGCATGGATGTTTGTGTGCGTTTTTCTGTGTTTGTGTACAGGTAGAGGCCTTGCGAAGAGCTGATCACCCGTCCAAGGAGTCCTACCGAACGTGTAAGATCTAGAAAAACCGAAAAGGTGAACGGAGAAAAGAAAACAAGTTCATGGAGGTAGGCCTAGGCCCACTGGGGCTGNCACTGGGGTTATAGTGCCAAGGAAAAAAAAATCATAAATCTGTCGTGTACAAGGAACATCGTTATCTCTGAAGCCCATATGCAAAGTAGGTCTATATTGTGTACGAAGGAGAAATTCTTGTATTTCTTGCACATCTAAAAAAACAACATCATAAAATCTGATTCTTATTTACGACAACTGACTTGTTTTCAAATAATATGCAAGGAAAATCTAAGTTTCTGTCGATCTATTTAGTATGGGTTCAGGTTGGTTAAAACTTTTAATAAAAATTTTTTATTTGGAGTAAGTGCATATTATATTGAATGATCAGAATTTTGGTACAGTATTCTGTAACTCCACTTTTGAAAAGATACGAACGTTTGTTATCTGTGTTAAATCTGATTATAACATTGCAAAATACAGGTGACAAATTCCATCGTTTAAGTTGTAGAGAACTCCGTTTCAAACAGGCTTATTTTGGTTCAAGAATGATATTTTTTTGCTAAAAAATAGCAAAATTATATACAGTTTTCTGAATCATTCTATTTCAGACGTAAAACAAGATAATTGTTGTCATATGTTTTTACAACGCATTATAGACCTGTATGAGAAACTATTATGATTATGAATAAATCGATCTTTAGATTTCGGCGGATATACAAGCCTTACAAAACAGTCGTATATGCAGTGCACTCTGTCTGTACGTGTTATCCCTGTGCTCAACTAATTAAGCACTGTGGATGAAGGTATATGGGGAACTGGATGTATAGACCCACGTATTCTTGACCTTGGCATTAGTTGGAAACGAGTCTTCACATTCACGACCCGGCTGCTTTGCCCTAGGGGAAAGAGTCACCTGTACGCGTTGAGGTATATATGTAGGGATGGACCAATGGATGGCTGTACGTCTCGCTATCTCGTGAACGGGTGGACGAATTTGTACACATTCTTATTTTGTGTGTGAGTCTGAACACTTGAGCACAAGAAAAAGAAAAAGATAATAATTTTATTCTTATTTTTAGATATCACCTGTAGATTTCGTCTAAATTACGGTGACATACAAGTATATCATGTTAGGAGACCCTTGTTACAAACTGTTTATTACTCTATCGATTACTCGCAGTCGTTATACCGACTGGCTACAGGCTGGACGACTGAAGGTTTGGCTACAGGCTGGACGACTGAAGGTTCGGAGTTTGAGTCCCGGTAAGGTCAAGAATTTTCTCTTCTCCAAGTCGTCTAGACCGACTATGGGTTCTACCAACCCCCTATCCAATGGATACTGGAGACTCTTTCCTCGGGGGTTAAGCGGCCGGGGTGTGAAGCTAACCTCCAGCTAATGCCGAGTTCAAGAAAATGTGAATCTATACATCCACTTGACATACACCTTCATAGCATATTGCTTAATTAGTTAAGCACAGAGACAATTTTTCCTTACAGTAGAAGGGCCCGTTTGTTATAAATTTTCTAATTGCAGAGAAAACAATTCTTTATTAGCATATATAGAAATATAGTATATAGAAATCTAACATAGAATGAAATTATTTAGAAGAAATAGTGAAGCTTTAATAAAGGATGATATGATTCATGCATGTTTAGGTTGTAATATAAGTTCTATTGCAAACTCGTGGGGATTTCATCTCTAATTAATGAAATATAAGGAAAGAGTCCATCCCTAATTGGTTCCACACATTGCCTACATAAAGCAATTTTATACGATCGAATAATGTCGACAGTGTCAATAAAGAAAGAACAGCTTTCACGGAGAAATTAAAATAATTGCAGGCCCCATTCTGTGCAGATCTTCCCAGAAGATACATTTTACAATGGAGTTTCAAGCCATATCTAATACGTTCCTGTTTATTTCCTAGTGGAGTTTGCTGTTTGCATATACACCACAAATGATTATTTTGTAGTATTTATGGTTCTAACAGCGGTGGTTATGAAGAGTTAGCTTCTGGGATAGAGCTTCGTGTAGTCAGTGAAAGTCAGGAGACTTTTCGGATGAACAAGTAGCCTCCATAGCTCTGCCTGCTGCCTGTATCATGCTGATTTCTTGCTCGCTAATTCGTAAACCCCAGAAATGGAAGTCACGTGTCCCTTCGAAACGTCGGTTGACTTTCACAGGACTATACCGTGTTATATCACAGAAGACAGATCTGTTCAACGAATATTTTGTAGCTGAATACGCTTGAAGTAAACAAGAGCTATGTACTGATAGAATGTGCTCAGATGTATTTTATGATTTTCGTGGAAACTTGAATTGAAGCTGTCGTAGAGGTATTTGACCGTCTTATTACCTACGTAGACCTACAGAATGTCATCTTGGGTTATACGTGTTTCAGATTAGAACTCTCGACACCCTTCTACTGAGTTGATCTCTATAGACATCTATGTTCGTTCTTTGAAATCAAATAAAACTATGCAAGCCTTCACAAACTAGGTCACTTTCCATGATAAATACTAACCGAAGTTCATATATCCACATTAAAACATCAGTATTCACAAGATAGACATGACACACACTGAAACAAAATACAGCTCGATCGTTCATGACCTAAGTAACTTATGTTTATGAATAGCATTATCATTAAAAAATCGTTGCTATGGTAACCCGAAATTGCTTAATTTCAGAACTTTGGCTCACCTTTACAGAACTTGTCTGTGCGTGTGTGTTGAGGGGGGGTTACTGTTAACAAGATCATAAACTATATCTTTTATTGTGCAGTCTTGAAATTGTAATAATGTATTAGAAAATTGTACATTTTTTAAATAAAAATATTCTCCACACAATATAAGAATAATGTATAATATCCATCCCATTAATATTCATATCTATATTAAAATTATTTTTGGACACAGACGTAATCGTTTTTTTCTCTTTAGATGTACGTAGTTAAAGCTATAAGTACGTAAGATACTTGACATCGTATTTACCGAGAATATTTCTTTTTAATAGTATACTTCTGACATTCTTCAATAGATACAGATAATCGAAATAGTTCATCTTGGAATGTAACAATTTCATAGGACCACAAACTTCAGCATTTGGCGCCCCATTATTATCTTCTGTAGGGTGCACTTAGGTGTCTGACATGATGTTTAGAATGGACAGTGTTAGGCCTAACGGGTTTGTAATGGGCACGTAATGTTTCCTATGAAATAGGAGCTCTAATTATAAATGTTGTTCAGACGACATCTCGGGACAACAAAAATTTCAATTGTCATGACCTAAGACAAAATGCTGTTCATGATACACAACAGGAGTCCGACACTAAGACCAACTGAAAGACCGCCAGCCGCAACTTAATTTTAACTGACTTCATACTTCAAAGAGATAAGCCAAATTTACTTCTCAGATTTTGTTTAATAGTAACTTTAATTAAATAAGTTATTGACAACTTTTGTTTCAGTTCTTGTGTACGTTAAACAAATTTTTAGATCCAGAATCAACCACCCTTCGG